CCAGACCACAAGCTTGCACAGAGACCACTAAAACTTTATACAAAAGCGCTTATACAAGGATATCTGCCTAGAAACCGTCCATTCAGCCTTGGACTAATGCCAGGTTTTTGTTTTGTTTTGTTTTTTTGTTGTTGTTGTTTTTCTTTTTTTGGCCAGTAATTACTGTTTCAAAAATACCTAACGTAGTCCTCCTCATTTTTGCCTTTTAAAACTTGCCCTTGGCCCAACCCCGACTGTGTTCAGAGTTTACCATAGCATGCACACTCCCGGGGCAGTGCTCCACTGTCTCCAAATAAATACCAGAGAACCCCTCCCTGATTGTTTCTGTAGTTTAGTTGACACCCTGAACTAGGCAGACTCACAGAAGAGGCTGCTGATTGTTCCTAATATCTGTTCTCCTTTTCACTTTAACAGACTTCTTAATGTAGGGGCAGAGGCAATGGCTGTTCAGAACAAAGACAAAGTCTTCATGCTTCCCTGGTAGCTAGATATACGGGTCAACATCTAAGCAGCCCTTAGAGAGACTCAAGAAAACCCTGAAGTTTCACTCTGCCTCGTCTCTCTCCTTCCTTCATCTCTTCCTCCATCCTGCCCCCGGGAGCAGATATGATCGGAATTTGTTGTTTGTGTTCTCAGAGTGCCCTCTATGAGCAGTGGGCAGGAAATAATTGGGACTTCATGGGCTCTGGGGGTACAAAGCCATCATTAAAAAATGACAGTCCAGCACACGCCTGTAATCCCAGCACTCGGGAGGCTGAGGCAGGAGGATTGCTGTGAGTTTGAGACCAGTCTGGGCTATATAGTGAGTTCCAGGTCAGTCTCAACTACATAGTGAGACCCTGTCTCAAAAAACCAACAAAAAAAAGTCCACACAAATCTGTCATTTTGTCTTCCCATCACTCTCGGTAAAGTTTATCTTAACAGAGCCACCCAAGCAAAGACAGGTTGGGGCACTTCCTGTGCTCCCCGGTGGCAGCCTTTCCCAGTGAGGGTTAGGACACAGGAGAGTGGACCAGCCCCAAGAGGAACGAGGAGGGCACTGAGCCAAGCAGCAAAAACTCGTCAGGTCAGCCACGTTTTCTCTCCTTGAAGGAAAAGTGAGTGAGAAAGCAAGAGAAGACAAAGAATCCTCTCTCTCTCTCTCTCTCTCCCTCAGTACCGGGGGCATCAAACTCTAGCCCTTGCACTTCCAAGGCAGGTGGCAGAACCACTGAGCTAAATCCCTGGCCCAAGAATTTCCTCTTCAGAATTCATCTACATAGAAACACTTAGGAGTGGGCTCACGTGAGTGTCTCCTTCAGCTCCCCCATCCTGTTTCCCTCATTTCCCTCAACCTCAATTCCTCCTTAACACAGCTCACATCCAGCCTCTTCGTTCCACCCTCGCTGCCCCTACTATAATATAGTACATGTAACGGTAGAGAGCACTGGTCAACAGCATGGGCTTTGAAATCGGGCACCAGGGTCATAATCTATACAGCTTTGAACAAATTACTTCTCTGGTTTAAACTTCAACTTCCTAATCTGTGACATGAAGATAACACTGGTCTCATAATGTTAAGGGTAATAAACAAGACAATATTCCTAAGACGTCTTGATAATACCTGACCATAAATGATATAGAGAGAGGTGTGTAATACCTGATAGTGATAAATGATAGCTACAGTTCCGTATTTAATCTCTCTCCTGGACTAAACAATCTTCCATTGAGCTCTGCATGTCCACATTTACTTCCCTACTCGATAGGCCCCACTGTTACCCGTATGACTTTTCTAGAATCTGTTAACTGCTGATCTAAACATCCTGCGAGGGATCCTACGTCAGGATAAAGTCAAACATTTACTGGTGTATGAAAGCTTCTATCATCTGACACCCAGTCCCTCCCCTCGACTGCTCTACTGTACTAAATGGTGCAATCTCCTTACTCATTAATGATCTGTTCAGATTTTCTGTTTCTTCACAATTCAGTCTCGATAGGTTGTAAGCATCTAGGAATTTGTTCACTTCCCCTAGATTATCTCATTTGTTGGTGTATAGTGATCCAGGACAATTTCTTTTGGTCCTTTGCATTTCTGTTCTTTAGCTGCAATGTCTCCTCTTTCATTTTTCCTTGTGAATCTTCTTTCCTTTGTCTACCTAAAGGTTTGTTAACATTGCTCATCTTTTTTGAAAAAAAAAAACCCTCTTAATTCTGTTAATATTTTCTATTGTTTTTCTAATCTTTATTTTATTTATTTCTGCTCTGACCTTCATTATTTCCTTCCCTCTATCAACTTTGGGCCAAGTTTGTTCTTTCTTTGGTTTCCTGAGGTATGACAGTAGGATATTTATTTGGAAACATTTTTCTTTTTTTGATGTAGGCATTTATTGCTATAAATTTCAAGTATTGAGCTGTTGTTTTCTGCAGTCCATAAGTTTTAGGGTGTGTATGCCATTTTCATGCATCTCAAAATATTTTTTATTTCTAATTGGTGAGGTAACACATACCTGTAATCCCAGCACTCAGGAGGCTGAGGCAGGAGAAGCTCAAAGCCAACCTGGGCTACATAGTGAGTTCAAAACCAACCTGAACTATATAGTGAGACCTTGTCTCAAAAAAAAAAAAATCTATTTCAATATCTTCCTAGACCTGTTGATTGTTCAAGTATGTTGTTTAATTTCCATGTATCTGTAAATCTTCCACAATTCCCCTGCTGTTGATTTCTAGTTTCATACCACTGTGGTCAGAAAAAAAATGCTTTATATGTAAGATTTCAATCTTCTCATATTTTTTAATTTTACTGAGTTTATTGGTACGTTTAAAGTATACAGTACGGTTACATTCATCATTGGGATCTTGTACCCTTACATGACAGATCTTGGTTCTCATTTTTTGCCCATAACCCTGACCTCCCTTCACCCCTCCACCCTCCCCTATTTACAAAGTCTTCTCATATTTTTAAGGCTAGAAAACAGTCAAAAAATTTTTGTAACACTGCAAGGTCAAACTCAGAGCCTCCCACATGTTAGGCAAGTTCTCTACCCCTGAGGCATATCCCTAGTCCTGCAAATAGTGATTTTTTTAATCAACCTAGCGGATAGCAAAAAATGTATCTTGTTTATTAATATATCGCTTTTCCTTTCTAAATTGTAAGCTTTAGCCTCTCATGTTTGAAGGGTTTCCACTGTCAGTGGAGTTCTAGCCTTCAAACTAGATGTCTTCCTAACTGGTTGCAAACAAATTCTCAGCTGGGTGAAGAGATGTTCCTCCTGTCTTCATAGCTGCAGATAAGCAGAAACTATTTGCATTGGGTAATTGTTCTTGAAAGTGATATTTCTAATATATCAGCTGTGTTAACTTTCTATCACTATAACAAGTAGCATCACTACTTTTATCACGGAGATAAAAGAAACTTCTAAGGAGAAAAGGTTTATTTTGGCTCATAGTTTCAGAGGTTTCAGCCTTTGGCTCTGTTGCTTTGAGCCTGGGGCAGCACAATACATCATGACCAGGAACATTTGGCAGAGGATGGAAGGTCATTTCATAGAGGCTGAAAGCAAAACAGAGAAAAATCTACATTCCTACATTCTTTCCAGAGCAGAAAATGCTCGCACTGAATGTGGACTAAAACAGCAAACAACTAGTGGGAAGGCATTGTTTGTACAAGGAACTGAATGTAAAGGCGCAGAACAGAGATTATTCTGTCTTTGGAGAACAATTAATCAACAGGACTGAAACACACGATGGGGCTCTCTGCTGTGGCTGGTCGAGAACACAGATTCTTTCTGTTCCTGTGAGATCACCAGAAGTTGTTTTGCCTCTGCTTGTCAGGTGGTTCCCTCGCTCATCTCCTCACACACATGTGCTGAAGACTGCTCAGCTGCAAACTTTCTGCCCTGTAAATCCTAGCTACCTTGGTCTCCCTAGCTTTCTACTCGATCTCCTCAACTCAGGCACATTGCCGGTCTCTCCCTGGTACCTCCTCTTTGGTGCGTGGCCTAGAAATTCTTCTTAGTCACTAAGCTCAGCCAACCCTAAGGCTCACATTATTGCTTTCCCTTTCTCAGAAATCACTCTTACACTTCTTGAATTACTTTATGTTCAATGACTGAAAACCACTGTTTCTTATGTCTTGTCCAGTGCTTTAGTTGTTGGTGGGAGGAAAAATTGCTTTACTCTGTGTTGATCTGAAGCAGAACAGTTGGGCTTTATCCCGATGCGTGTGGCCTCGTGGCATCAAGAGAGCAACGTGTCTAGATGAAAGGCAGGAAGAAGAAGCAGTAGCGGACAGCACCACCTGCTCTGAGAAGCCTAGAGAGTCTGATGTTGCTTGATCATCGGCCTAATGACCATGACATCTTTAATACAATGGACAGCATAACAGTCTGGAAAATGTCCAAGCATTATCCCCACAGGCTATGTATTCAGACAAAGAAAAGCAGAGTTAGCTAACTTGCTTCTGAGGCATGTTGTAAAACTGTGCTCATTCTCTTGCCCTGAGCACTTGTATATTTCCAACCACACAATGCTCTTCTATGACTGAGACTTGCCTTCCCCCAAAATCCCCTTTCCAAGGTGGAATTTACCAAAGGAGAGGCATCCACCTAGGATTTGAGAAGGTGTAAGTGAAATAGGAGCCATTATTGTCTGGTAATGATGGCCAGAAACATGAGTAGACAAGAGCTTCCCACAGCGCCTGAGAAACTCCTCCTTGGCCACTGCAGATTGAGATGGTGGTTGTTTCTCAGTTATTTTTGAGAACTGCAAAAGCTTGCAGGCAAGCTTTTGAAAGCCATGTTCTTCATTGCTTCAGAGAAAGATATTTGTCAGACATTATTGACCTTCAAGGCAGTTACTCTTACCATCAGCAGCCATTTCCTTAAACTTTACTCCCTCAGCTCTTCTTTTCCCACGGTCGTGTGAGCTTCTAATTCTATGTAATAGCCTTTGGTCCCACAAAGTGCATACAATGACTTCTAACCAAGCCCTGAAAGTCTTCTGTATTGAAATATGTTCTGGGATTTGTTTTCTGGTGTATTTAGATCTGAAAGTAGTAGTGGCCTTATTCATAGTAGAAAAGGAGACCCACTAACAGTCACAATACAGTTACTCATTTCCTGCAAACTGACTACACTTGAGAGCCTATAAAAGGCAAGGCCTTCAAAGACCAGGTAACTATAGTGATGGAACGTTATGGAAAAATTAAAGAGTACAATGGCGGTGTGATGGGTTGGCTTCTTCTGAGTGAGCTGGAGAAATTGGTGGGAAAAAAATATGACAAGGTTAGAGCTTTAAATATTCAGCTGGCTACATGGATAGAAAGCAAGAAAACATGGCTGCCTTGAGGGAATCCTTATTTCTTATAATATAAAGTCTGGGTTTCTGAAAACCCAAAGCAGAACCTGCTCCTGTGGTTGGCCAGATTACATCTAAATTAAATCCACAGCCTTGTTTTGATACGTAATTAAAGTCATGTTGTTCGTAAAAATTATTTTTTAAAAAAGACTTGGTCTCTGAGAATTATACCAGGGATGTTTAGGTAGATTTTGACCTTCTTCAATCCTCAAATTATACCAGTCCTCCTTTGCCAGCGAAAGCAGCCCTTCCTCATGTCTGAGGATGTTAGCTGCCCCCCTGGTGAGGAGCCTATAATCACCTTGCCTGAGGTGGTCACCCAGAGGAGGCACACGGACTACACTCAAGACTCACCCTCGAGGTCTCTCAGTGCTTCCGGAACACAGTGATGCTCAAATCCCAGCAGACCCAAAGAAAAGGACCACACCACGTGACTCAGGAATAGGAGACAAAAGCACCAAAAGAACTGCAAGGTTTTATCTGCGGATGTCAGCAAAATCTGGGGAATATTTATGAAAATGGATCCAAGGATAGTATGCCAGGGAGAGAAATGTGATTCTTTTGTCCTGTGTTGCCTGTATTGATACAAATATGTTAGCTCAAGAAACTAAAACTGGCTATAAGAGCTGACTGCTCTGGTGACTAAAACAGGAACTTAACAGCAGCTTACATTAAGTGAAGGAGAGATGCTCAAATGTCCTTGGTACACTAGAGAACAAGGTATCCAAAGGTTCAGAGAGCCAGGGACGCCTGTCAGCAAGAACCCGCAGCGATAAGATGCTTTTGCCAGGTAGGGTTAACAGTACACTTTTACTGTTCCTTTATAGCTCCTCAGCTCTCTGTCAAAATCTAGCCTTCTAAGACCTTAATCGTTTCACCAATTCCTGGAGCATGCTGGCCTACTCCACTGATTGGACTAAGTAAGCAGTACTTAATACCCAAGACACCCTAGTAAGACACATAGATGCCAGAGGGTATGGAATAAATTCCACAAAAATTAAGTTGCTGATCACCTTAGTGAAATTTCTTGCTTTCTGTGGTCTTTAGTACATCAAAATATCCCTTGCAGGGTGAAGAGCAGTTGTTGCATCTGGCATCTTCAATAACCAAGAAACAACACCTTTGGATTTGGAAGGTGACATAAATTCCTTTCAGTGTGCCACTGTGGACTATTTCCTGAGTAACAGGGGGCAGTGTGGTGCCTTGAAAAGTTCCTTCCCCGGGTTCAAGACAATCAGAGGTGGTCTTGAGTTTATGTTCTATGTAAAATGAATATAAATACCTACCTCATAATATTATGGTGACTAAAATATGAGCTCATGTGATTAAGGCTCTTTAACACGGACATATTGCCTTTAGAGCCCTGCAATTGGACGCCATTCCAATGGCAAAATATTTGTCAGCCCAGAGTAAAAACTGCCCCATAAAGACAGCCTATTATTTTTCCCTTGGATTGTAACATGCGACAGAAAGTACATGTGAATCATTAATGCAGATCTTAAAATTAATTATAATGTAACAACCAGCCAACTAGTACTTGATTCAGAAAAAAGAACATTGGCAAAGTGGCCACTAACTCTGCACTAACACACTCAGGAACAGAAAGTTGTGTCTCAAATGTAACAAGTGCCAACTCAGAACTGTTGGGTAAGATACATATTAACCCTCCCTGACCCCCCCATTCTTTTTTTTTTCTTTTCTAGTATTTATTCCTTTCCCTTCTTTCCTTTCCCCTACCCCTCCGACTTCTCCTTCCCCTTTGGACCTTTTCTTACTATTGCACATTATCTGTTATACATTTTGATCCTTATTTACACTTTCAGTTTCTCACACCAGAGAAACTATTCTGTATTTACACATGTGTCCTACTAATTTCACTTGAGTATCGCCTCAATATGCATGCATTTAGCTATAAATGGCTCTAATTTCTCATTCTTTATGGCTGAGTAGCACTCCATTTTATTTTTTTTTTAAATACACACGCATGTTTTCTTTATCCAGTCTCCAGTTGATGAGCAATTGGACTGTTTCCAAGTTTTAACTATTACTAACTGTGCCACTGTAAACACGGGTGCACATATGTCGCTGTGGTATGATTCTTTTCATTGTTTGGGGAAGAACCCAGCAGGGGGATGGCTGGGTCAAATGGGACCTCTAATCCTAGTTTTCTGAGGTATGTCCACACTGACTTCCACAGTGGCTCCCACCAACAATGGAGGAGGTGTCCTTTTCCCCACAGCCCCCCAGCATTTGTTCTTGGTTGATTTCTTGATAGCAGCCATTCTTTCTGGGGTGAGGTGGAATCTCAGTGTTGTTTTTATCTGCATCTCTCGAATGACAAGTGATGCTGAACATTTTTTCATATGTTTATTTGCTATTTCTACTTCTTTGTCTGGGAAATGTCTGTTCATTTCAGATGCCCATTTCTGGATTGGGTCTTTAAATTTGGGAAGTCTGATTTTTAAAATTCTTTATATATTCTAGATGTAGGCCTTTGTCTGAGGAGCAGCTGGTAAACGTTTTTCCCACATTGTGGGTTGTCTCTTCACGTTGTTGGTGGGTTTTCCTGCTGTGCAGAAGCTTTTTAATGAGATGAGACCTCACTTGTTGATTCTTTGTGCTCATGCACGTGAGACTGAGGTTTTCCTGAACCCCCGAATTCTGAAAGGAAATGAAGTTATTCTGGGCTCACCCTAACCAGCTTTTCCACTTTCCTTCCTTCCAGGACACACTGCATATCGAACACTAGAGGGCAGCAGCTCCCCAGAGATGACCCGTGAAGCTGCCCAGTCTCCTGATTCTCCTCTCCTCTCTCCCGCCACTAGCCCCGCCCCCCATCCCTTTCAGTCCTGCACCACACCGGAGACTTGCGCAGCGGAAAGATCCATGGCTTTGGTAACAGGGAGATCTGGGCTTAAATCCCAATTCTTATTACCTATGACCTTGAATAAGTGACCTATCCACAGCTGGAAAAATAAAGCACAAAAATAGAACCTACTCCATAGTATTATTGGAAGATAGTGAGATAATGCGGATAAACAACAAAATATTTTTAAATATTAGTTGTTCTTAGGCATCAAAATAATAAATCTAATTTGATTCTCACCGGTCCCAGCAAACAGGAGAAATAAATATGATTTCCATTTTTCAGATAGACAAACTTGGACTCAAAAGGAATCGCATAAGACCTTTAGAATCATGATGGGAATGCATTTACAAAGTCTCTCTCAACACTTTACAATGACTGACAGCCGACTTTGAGAGACTCATTAACAACCCTTTTGAGATTCTCACATTTTGAGGCCTAGAGAGGGAAAAAAATCTTCTCCAAGGCCACATTCCAAGTCAGTGGACAATTCAGGACCTAAAAGTCCAGCCCACTGGGCTCCCAGTCCCACGATCCACCCAGTGCCTCATTATTCTGCTTTCTTTGAAATTTCATTTGTTTTTATTTCATTTTGTTGGTTGTTGTTGTTGTTGTCATTTAGAGACAGGCTCTCATTACATGGTTCAGGCTGGCTTTGAACTCACTCTGTAGCCCAGGCTCACCTCAAACTCTCAGAACCCTCCTGCCTCAGGCTCCTGAACGCTGGGGTTACACCTGCGTGCACCACCATGCCTGGCAAGAATGATACCACTGAACCACGAATGCACTTTTATTCTGCTTTTGACTGCTTGCCGTAGGACACCACCTCTGAGCCTTGTCTCCTTAATGTCAAAATGTTCCCAAACATCAAGTCATCTCCAACTCCTTTTCTTCATGTGGGGCAAGTTATTCTGGAAAGAAGCCATGGTGGGGAACAAGACTGGAGGTGACAGAAAAATATTCTCCGGGGCTATTTATGACTGGGGAAAAGCATTTGCAATGTGCTGCTAAATGAAATGAGGGATTTATAAGACAGCAGGTACAATGTGTCTCAGTGTGTATTTCTGTATAGGAAGTGGGAACACATGACACAAAATGGTAAAAAAAATGCTTATCTCTCTGTGGGGTATTACGGGTAAGTTTCATACTTTTGCATTTTTGTATGTTTCTAGATTTCTTCTGTGAATGTTTTATTTTTATGATCAGAACAGATATCTGTCCATGTGTGTTACACTGTGCCAGTTGCCCCATTAAGAACCAAGGGTGACAGTGCGTCCTCCTCCTCCACTGATTTTTTGTGACTGCCCAAGCCCCTTAACCCCTGGAGCCACAGTTTCTCCACGACCATTATTGAGCATTCACTGTGTCAGCCACCGAGGGCCTTACCTGGATCCTCATTTAGACCTCACACTGACCATGTGAGAGGCATACTGCTGCTATCTCCACGACAAAGCTGAGAAAAGTGAAGTGTAGAGACTTTTCACGATCGATCGATGTTTGATGTTATGTGGTGCATTATACAGTTGCTAAAACATTGCGGCTAAGATTTGCACACAGACAGAGTGACCTGGCTGCAGAGTGTATCAGCCCTGCTACAACGAGCACTCTGCTACATTGTTATTTTGCCTTTTTTTAAAAAACAGAATTACCTACAAGATGAAGCCCCTATCCTGCCACCCGCCTCTGAGGACCCTCCTGCATAGCTCAGATGCACTTTTACACTCCTCATCCTCAATGTGCCCAACTGGTACTAGTACAGGTAGAAACAAAGGAGCTGAGTGAGGTGCTCTTTCCCTTCCATTTAACTCTAAACATCACCCAAAGGTTACTCCGTAATGCTTCCCTTGTCCTAAGAGAGGTAGAAGATAAAATAACAAAAGCCTATGAAATCACTGATGCCCTAGGAAAGAGAGCACAGGTTCGGGGCAGAGGTGTCTGACCTTTAAATTCAGAAAGCCTGCATTACCAGTGCCTCTTTTGTGCTATTGCTACCTTTGACCTGTGTGCTTTGCTTTCCTTTTGCCCTGGCACTTTTCTTGGTCTTTGTTATACCTTTGTTGGCATGGACTGGGCCTGAGCACAACTTCAGTGATCTTCATTACGCGGAGCTGCCCCCCACTCACCACCGGGTGCACGCTTGGCAATTCTTTCGTCGTCGTACATAAGCACCTGGACTACTGTTGGCTCACTGGACGGTACCAGTACCACCCACTTCACCATCCTGACGGCACTCCTCCTATGCCCACTTCCGCACCTGACCCAGCCCCTTGGAGTACCAGTCAGTGCACCCCCAGGTCAAAATGTTCCCAAACGTCAAGCCATCTCCAACGCCTTTTCTTCATGTGGGGCAAGTTATTCTGGAAAGAAGCCACGGTGGAGAACAAGGCTGCTACTGAGAGACAGCAGACCTGAGAACTTGGTTCTTGCCCTCTGGAACATGATTTGGGAGATCTGGAATCCCCGGTCTGGGTCACAGTTAGTTGTCCCACCTCAGAGATGAAAGAAGAGGAGTAGATCATCTTTAGGGGTCCTTTTTGCCTCACAGTCTAAGACACTGTGCTTTCAAGAAGCCCTGAAATGAGATGAAACTGCCCTTTTTTGAATTGCTTTAACATTCACAGAATGAAGAGAATGTTGGGCCTGAGAAGGACTTCAGAGGAAAAATAATCCCACCCCCTCACTCCTGCCCCAGGGATACCGACGCAGGGAGGGGCAGAGGCCTGCACAGCCCTCTGGGGAGAGCCAGGAGGGTGGCTGTGCTCTCTGCCCAGCGGGGACCCATCTCAGCAGGTCCCCGGCCCCCACAAAGGGCAGCAGGAGGTGGGAAGGGCCAAGCTCCAGAGCTGGCCCTGGGCCGGGCTCGGCCTATTCAGCTCCAAGAGCCTCGGTAGTTTTCCACACCAGCAGGCCAGCAGCCCAGGACATGTGCTCTCCTCTCCCCTGGCCCTCCACATTCCTCTGCACATTCAGGCAGCAAAGTGGCATTCAGGGCCCTGCTGGGGGCAGGAGGAGAAGGGAAGGATAGGGGCAGCGACCCAGATACCACATACATCTCCAGATAAGTGTACAGCTACAGACACAGACCCAGAGAGATAACACAGATCCCAGACCCCGGCGAGGTGAGGGTTCCCAGACACAAATGGCAGATACAGCACTCTCCCGCTCACCCTGCAGAGCACACACCCCACCAGAGACCTCACAGACCCACGCTCAGAGGCACACACAAGCGCACTGCTCACAGAGATAATCATCTGGTGCACAAACAAGCACATTCCTACCAGAGGTCCCCTGCACCAGCAGCCACCCCCATTCCACCTTCTCTCTGCCCCTCGTCCTGCAGTTTCTGCACATGACAAACATTGGTCAAGCGGCGGGGGAAACATCCTGAGCCAGTCCAGTCCTGAGAGGCAGGACAGGAGTTAGACGAAACCCAGGAGCCAGCCAGGCTCCCCTGACACTGAGAAAGTACCATTGTTTTAATTCCAAAGAAATGACTGCACAGTCCTCACCCCGTTCCCCACAGGCCCGGCTGGAACCTGGAGCATGCCATCCCCCTGATCTTCCCCAGGCCCTGCATCCAGCTTTGTTCCCAGCGATACCGGCAGAGCAGAGGAGTAGTCGCAGAGCTATTCTCTTGATTCAGTACCCTCCAGTTCCTCTCCACCTACCTGGCCCCTAACCCACCTAACAGCTCCATTCCCAACTAGCCCCACAACTGTCCTCACGCCAGAGTGAAAACTGACCACACTGACCCCAGGCCTGGCGCGGAGACCGCCTGTGACAATAAGCCCAAGTCAGAGCCTCCCGCAGGGTGCTCAGTGCGGACCCGGTGGCAGGTGGATCCAGCCGGGTGGCTGTGAGTGTGAGGCCCCTGTTTGGAGTGGGCACTGGTGGGCTCCCGTCCCAACCTCACCACCTACTTGGGCAAAGGGCTTCAGATTCCTCCCTTATAAACTGGGAATAACAGTGTCCCCTCACTCTCAGGAATATGCATGCAAAGAGTTTATGCTGAAGCTGAATTGAAGTCCCTGGATATTAACCAAGAAACAGGCTGTGCTGGTTAGGCGAGGGATCCAGCTTTCCCTAGCCACAGTTTCGCACCCTGAACACAGCAGGCAGCCTCTAGACCCCCGCGTGGGCTGCCCGTTTGCTCGGCTCCCACCTGCTCGGTCACAACCCCAGTCCCTGTTCCCAGGCCCACCGCCCCACCCCATCCGACGGCCTGGCTATCAGCCGGAAGGGATTTGCAGCCGCGGGGAAATCGGCTGGGTCTGCACAGAAGCCGCCTTGTGCTGGTGGGGCCCCGTGGTCACGTCGCTCCGTGGGCTGCCGCGGTG